AATCCACTCTAAACATATGCTTAGAATGTTGATCAAGTAATTGCTATAGAAAGTTCATTTAGGAATATTCCTGGAACATTCTCTTAAGCATATTCAGTTCAGTTAGGTACCTATATAATAGTAAAATATACCATAATCTACGTATAAAGGACCTATACTTAGTATAAAATACTAAGTAAAAAACAGAACCCAAAATATTTTTTTATAGTTATTTGTCAAATTAAAACAATATTCGATAACAAAAATACTTTTACTATAGGTATCTAAATTATCCGGCTTTTACATAAAATCTTCTATCCAACTTAAATACAATGAAAAATGTTTTTTTATGAAGAACTATTTGGTTTTTTCTTTTATGAAGAACTATTTTATAAGGAAATATTTTGTTTTTTTATATTTTATTTTATGTTAAAAATAAATATTTATTAATTTGTATACCGATTTTTTATATCTGAATTAACATTTTTATGTATAATAATCCTAACTATCTTCAACTTCAATCTAATCTGACTTATCCCACAAAATTTTCCAATTTTACTTTTTATGAAATTATGTCATACAACTTATGGTTTAGAGGTCAAATTGTTTATTTAATATTTTTAAATAAATATATATTAATATGACAGTGAAGCGTATTTGTCGTCTCCTGAAGAATTTTACGAATGTAGAATCCAACATATTAGAACGTGGGTATCTGACATATTTGGAAATATTCTCAAAAGCTTCCTAGAAGCTCCATAAGAAACCTTCTAAGAACATTCCAAAAACGTATTCTTAAAATGTTCTTAGAATGCTTTTTAGGAAGGTTTTAAGAAGCTTCTAAGAATCTAATTGCATCATTAAAAGGGTATGTATTGAATGTTTTAAAAGTCCCTAAGAACATTCTTAGCAATAAGGGAAGGTTCTAAGAATATTCCATTATTCCGGGTCATATCTTCTTAAAAGATTCTTAGAATCAAATTTTGCTATCAGGGTAAGTATTATAAATTTGGTTACTTCTTCGCATCTTTTTTTAAACGTTTCGAATTTTCCGAATATGTACATTTCCGAACATATTATGGGTGTTTCCCCTGCCTCTTCCATAACTTTTTGAGTTCTCTTGAAGCATTGATAGTATTTTAAATACAAGTCAAGACATACCTAGAAGATTTGTTTTTTTACATACAGTATAATATATAATTTTAATAAAATCTTACTTTAATTTTATTTGTAACTTCCACCATTGGTTGATTCCAAACGGTTTTAGTATTATCGTTGTTCAAATATCGTCTACATCTGGCGATCATTTGGTTTGATATTTTTATCAGCAAAGCCGTTATGTTGACAGTACTGTTGTAGTACCTCGATGTACTGTAAGTCATGCGGATAGCGTGTAGCAAAGGAGGGATATATGGAGCCATATCCGGAACTTCTTCGCGGTACAGAAAGTTCCAGTAATTTTCCAAGGCGTATAGGTATTTTAGGTTATCTCCTGCTTCGTTTTTCGTGTTGTATACTTCGTCTATTTGTTTTTTCCACATCTGAAGTGATTATATCCCAAAAGTGTTTAAAAGAATATACTAAGTTTTACCTTTATTTCTTTGACTATGTCTTTATCACTTTTGGTGGAAAGATATTCAACAAAATTTTTGCAAATATCAGTTTCTATGAACTCAGATATACTCGTGAATCTTGCAAGTTGATTTCTCCAATACTCTATTTCCACTATGGGGCCTACGAATTCGTTTTCACGCCTTAGTTGTCGAAATTGCACGAGGGACTGTAAAAAATATTTGCCTTAAGCATAAAGCTCATTATTTATTGCTGCAATACCTTTTCTATAATTTTATTCCACAGTCTAACAGTTTGCTGCACATTTTGCTTTAGTTCAAGGTTTTGCCACGTAGTTTCTCTCTTCTCTTCAGTTTCCAGATACGTATCATACATTTCCTGATCAAAAGGGAAATGTACAACCCCTGATAGGTCTATCTTTGTTTCTAGAAAAAATCAATACAATAACAAACAACGGATAAAAAATGTATCCGTACTTTCGAGAAAGTTTCCAAAAGAATCCAACTCGCCTAAAAAGTTATTTTTCTGAGTCAGGCCGCTCTTGGTTTTTTGCAAGTCAGCCCAATCTTTAAAAATAGAAAAGTTCGGACCCAACATTTTGGATAAAAGTTCATAAACCATAGCGGCTGATATTTCCTCGCCATTTTTCATATCAAATTGAACATAAAAGCAATCCTAAAAGTGATAAAATGTGACACTTTTTATGAAAAAAAGACTTTATAATTATTGGACAAGTCAAATCATTAGATGACGCTGTATACAATTATAACTATCTCAGTCGGTAATAATGTAGAACTACTTTATTTTGGGTCCAATATAGGACAAAAAAGTTCGCACGTTACTTTGGTGGTTAGATTTTTGTTTTAAGAGCAGGGCTGTGTTTAAATTACAATAAAAAATAATTCTAAAAAGTGTACAGATCAGAGTGTGGTATAAATGTGTTCCTCATGGTTTAAAAATTGTCACTTTAATGCGTTTTAATTTTAATTCTAAAAACAAACAGTAATATGGCCAGTGTCCAATTACTGGTTGGTAAGAAATGTAAATTTCTATTATTGGACATATGTCCAATATTATACTCTGTTTATATCCCGGGCATTTACCAGCCAATTATTATGTAAAATTGTCCCCTGAATCCGAAAAGACCGTCAAAAACTATAGAAGTTAAGCAGTTTTTGAGATATGGTAAATTACATATTATAGGTAAAATTGATTATATTTCAAAAAATTTTCTACTTTTATAACTTTTGACGACATTTTCGGATTCAGCGAATAATATTTTATAGGAATTGACTGCTAAATGACCTGGATACAGTTGCTCTGGACGAGAATTATTAGTGGCTGCTTTTTCGCTATGACATTTTTGACTAATTCATTTTTAGAGAGTAAGTAATATATATAGTGATTTCTTTGTCACAGGACATCTTGAAGAATAACAGTGATTTAAATACAGTGCATGATAGAGAACATAAAAAAATATTGGCAATAAAATTAATAAATTCGGAAAATACTTTTAACATACCACCAGAAAAAATATTAGATATATATAAATTATCCTGTTCCTGCCTAAACATTATAAATGCTTCACAAGCTAGAGATACCTCACTTAATCATATTTGCAACAAACTATTTCAGAAGTCAGACCAAGGAATTAGTAGTTACCTTCAGAATCCAGAAAAGGGATAAGGAATCCGAGAAAGAAATATATGAATTATATGATATTTACAAAAACGAAATAAAAAAAATTACATAAAACAGCAATTTATCTTTAAAAAATATTTAACAATTTATGTTATTTGATGTAAAGTTGTTGTGTTTATACAAAAATTGTATGTCCAATAACTATGGTCCATGTGTCCAATTACTATATAAAATGTCCAATTACTATACTTTTTTGAATGTTTTTATAAAACTATTACTTAAAATTCAAATATTCGTATTTTTAAGTAAACGCAAATAAATATTCCTTAAGTGTCAAATAACTATGTGGTTTACCATACCTCAGTAATATTTTTCAAATCCAAAGCCACAGGTTTTATTTTATACACAGCCACAGCTTTCTCAATCAATTCCTTATCTATCCCATCAGTGACTCTAACTCTTTTGATCGTATGTGATTGTTGCTGAATATATCTACCACTTTCAAGTTCGAACGGTGGTCCGTCCTGTCTGTAAAAGAGCACAGCATTTACTGTGCCTTCAATAAAATCGTTTAAAAGCGAAACGTAACTCCTGTTATCTGCCACCCCGTCTAAAACTTCGTTGGAATCCACGTCCCAATATATGGCCACCATATCGCAAACGTGTCTATGGGGTAATTGAAGCTCGGTTAGTCTGTTATTCCTTGCTTCCTTGGCTTCAGCCAATTTGACTTTCAGGTTCTCTTGGTTGACGGTTAAAATGCTTTTTCTCTTCGAGCCAGCACCTTAGAATACACCCTTATTGCTTTAGCTACAGTTTTGTGTAGGTACATGACTTACCTTCAGTTTGTTCCTGCCACATGTTTGCAACCCTCGCGATCTCAGCTGCGACCTCCATGAGCAGCTGAAGATCAGAATCAACCTTGTCAACTCTGAAGACAGTTTCTTCAATTGAGGATGGCACTTGAAATTCTTCATATTCTTCATCTTCATCCTCGGAATTCATTTTTAATCTTGTTGGTTTGTATTTGCTCCAGAGGTTATATTGCTACTTAATTGGGGATACTGTTACCTTTTATAGTCACAAAATTTACCAATTTAGTTTTTTAAAATCTTTTTTTGACAATTTTTGATTGACAAACCTTGTCTTTGTTAAAACGTTTTGTTTTATTTTACTTGTTTAGTAAGTATTATTGTTGGAGACACAATCCACACAACAAGGTCTGTTCTATCTCGTACTAAAATACAAAAAATCACTGCAACACTGCACGGCGGCAATTTTTGTTGTTTACAATTTTTGTGCTTTGGGTTTGTGCTCTGTTTATACAGATTAATAATCGTTTTAAACGTTGTGTTTCTCATAGTAAGCCTTAAAAGAGGCCTTAAAGTGCGAAGAACAACCATTTTAATCCTCTATTGTAAAAAATAAACTTTATTCTATCAGGGCTGTCATAAAACTGTCAAATGTCAATTTTAAGGTTAAATTATAACCCACAAATTAACCTTCAAATTGTCATTTGACAGCCCTGATAGAATAAGGTATATTTATTATAAAAAAGAAGTAAAATGGTTGTCCTTAGCACTTAAAGGCCTTATTTGAGGCTTACAAGTGCCTCTGAAGAAACCCAACGTTTAAAACAATTATTAAACAGCACACACCCAAAGCACAGGAATTGTAAACAACAAAAATGGCCGCCGTTAAACTCTGTGCAGTGTTGCAGTGATTTTTTGTATTTTTAGTACGAGATAGAACAGACCTTGTTGTGTGGATTGTGCTTGGAGAGGTAAAAAATATACAGTTTTTTCTTTTTATTTATATTTTAAACTGTTATAAAACACACTAACTAAACATAATAAATAATTTTTAAAACTTAATATACTAGAAGCTGAACTTGACAAATCCAGAGGTATCATATTGTCCTGAGTTATCATTTGAACTGTCGTCATTAATTCTTCATTTACTTCTAAAATATAAAAATTATAAACATATAGGGTAAAGTAGACAGTTATCGGACACCTTTTAGTTATTGGACAATTAACATTAAAACTGTAAAAACAAGAGTTCTATAAATTGTTACCTTAAAGTCAAATCATTAGATGACGCTGTATACAATTATAACTATCTCAGTCGGTAATAATATAGAACTACTTTATTTTGGGTCCAATATAGGACAAAAAAGTTCGCACGTTACTTTGGTGGTAAGATTTTTGTTTTTTTGTTAAGAGCAGGGCTGTGTTTAAATTACAATACAAAATATTTCTAATAAGTGTACAGATCAGTGTGTGGTATATATGTGCTCCTCATGGTTTAAACATTGTCATTTTAATGCGTTTTAATTTCAATTCTGAAAACAAACAGTAAAATGGCCAGTGCCCAATTACTGGTTGGTAAAAAATGTAAATTTCTATTATTGGACATATGTCCAATATCATACTCTATTTATATCCCGGACATTTACCAGCCAATTCTTATGTAAAATTGTCCCCTGAATCTGAAAAGACCGTCAAAAACTATAAAAGTTAAGCAGTTTGTGAGATATAGTCAGTTCCATATTATATGTAAAATTAATTATATTTCAAAAACTGTTCTACTTTTATAACTTTTGACAACATTTTCGGATTCAGCGAATAATTTTTCATAGGAATTGACTGCTTAATGTCCTGGATACAAATTGCTGTTGACGAGAATTATTAGTGGCTTCTTTTTCGCTATGAAATTTTTGACTAATTCATTTTTAGAGAGTAAGTAATATAGTGATTTCTTCGTCACAGGACATCTTGCAGAATAACAGTGATTCAAATACAGTGCATGATAGAGAACATAAAAACCACCCGAAAAAATATTAGATATTTATAAATCATCCTGTTCCGGCCTAAACATTATAAATGCTTTACAAACTAGAGATACCACACTTATTGATGTTTGCAACAAACTATTTTAGAAGTCAGACCAAGGAATTAGTAGTTACCTTCAGAATCCAGAAAAAGGATGATATTTACAAAAACAAAATAAAAAAATTACCTAAAACAACAATTTATCTTTAAAAAATATTTATCAATTTATGTTATTTGATGTAAAGTTGTTATGTTTATATAAAAATTGTATGTCCAATAAGTTATTAGCAATAACTATGGTCATGTGTCCAATTACTATATAAAATGTCCAATTACTATACTTTTTTGCATGTTTTTATAAAACTATTATTAAAAATTCAAATATTCTTATTTTTAAGAAAAAATAAAAAAAGTTTAAACAAACTATCCTTTTTATAAATTTATAAGAAAAAAACTAAAATCTTTAAAACAACAGCATATATAAATTTTAAATAAATAATAATATAATATTTACTTAAGTGTCCAATAACTACACTCACAGGCAAAATAATCGATCCACACAAACTAAAATCTTTAAAACAACAGCATATATAAATTTTAAATAAATAATAATTAATATTTACTTAAGTGTCCAATAACTACACTCACAGGCAAAATAATCGATCCACACAAATTTTCAATGAATTTCAATCGAAAATAACTTTTTTTTATTTGATGTCGGATTTAAACGAATATTAAAGAATATTCTAGATAAATTAATGGACAATCGCTCGTCTAAAAAATAGACGTACGTTTATAATATACAGGTTTAAACAAAAATATGTATTTTACCATAAGTTTAAGACACTCTGTAGAGTGGCAAAACCGTATATTGTTATAAATTAGGTTTTATTTATCAAGTCACATCTATTCTTAACAGTTTTGTTTTTGGTTTACCTCGATATATTTATTTTTGTGGAAAATATGGATTTTTTATTTTTTGTATGTGGTTTACCCTATTGTGTCAAAAACTATTTACCTGCACCAGCAGTTGCAAACCTTAGGATAGGCGAAGGTTTGGACCAGCCATACCTATTTCTGGACACCAAAAGGGCTTCGTAAATACTTTTCTCTTTTAAACCTTTGATTGTGTATGACTTTGAGAATACAGGGCCTAAACTATGTTCAGTTGGGATTGTTAATTTAGTCCAGCCAGGCTTGTTTAGACCACTTTTCGGCCGATACGGTCTAAACCATAGATTGTATTCTATTATAGGAGTGTAGCTGTCTACCTCCCATATAAGGAGGTATGATGTTTTGGCGTTCAGGTTTTTATCTCCCGTTTTCTTGAAGACACCTGGGTTGGGAACACCTGTAAAATAAACCTTGTCAAGTGAAATGTTGCGGGTAATTTAAGGTTTCGCCACCTGACAGTTGTATTTGCACTTCACCCTGACCCAACTCATTGTTAGCTCTGCAAGTGTAAATACCGAAATCACTTCTCTGGACGTTCCTAATGAGCAATGTGTATTTATCACCGTCAACCAAAGAAACAACTCTATTATCCAGAGGAACTTGTATTTCCCCTTTCAACCAAGTTACTGTGGCCTGTGGATCAGCAGATATTTTGCATTCCAACTGTGCTCTCAAACCTGGTGCTGTATGTATCCAAGATCTGGATGTTAGAATCTCCGGAGGAACTAAAATATTTTAAGTTAAGTTAATAATGTAAAAAGTTGTTTGGTGTTGTTACAGATTATATTTAGTGATATTTCAGTTCTGGCCGGTTCCCCTACACCATTGAAAGCTTCGCAAGAATACTTCCCAGCTAAAAGTCGATCTGAAGCGGTAAATTTGAGCAGTTCTCTGTGGTCTAGCAGTTTTAGTTCTTCACCCTGCAATATCATTGTTGTTAATATAAGGAGTCCCTGATAGCACAGTTTATTCTAAGAATGTTTTTTAAACCTTCCAGTGGGAATATTCTTAGGATCATGCTATATTTCTTCTAGTCATGTTCTGAGAATGTTTTTTGAACCTTCCAGTGGGAATATTCTCAGGATCATCATATTTCTTCTAGTCATGTTCTAAGAATGTTTTTTAAATCTTCCAGTGAGAATATTCTTAGGATCATGCTATATTTCTTCTAAAGAACATGCTAAGAAGAAATATAGCGTAATCCTAAGAATATTCTCACTGACCTATAGGCAGGTTCTTAGAAGGTGCAAAGTTTAGTGTTAAAAATTAATCCACTCTAAACATATGCTTAGCATGTTGAGAAAGTAATTGCTATAGAAAGTTCATTTAGGAATATTCCTGCAACATTCTTTTAAGCATATTCAGTTCAGTTAGGTACCTATATAGTAGTAAAATATACCATAATCTAGGTATAAAGGTACCTATACTTATTAGTATTAAATACTAAGTAAAAAACACAACCCAAAATATTTTTTTATAGTTATTTGTCAAATTAAAACAATATTCGATAACAAAAATACTTTTTCTATAGGTATCTAAATTATCCAGCTTTTACATAAAATCTTCTATCCAACTTAAATACAATGAAAAATGTTTTTTTTATAAAGAACTATTTGGTTTTTTCTTTTATGAAGAATTATTTTATAAGGAAATATTTTGTTTTTTAATATTTTATTTTGTTAAAAATAAATATTTATTAATTTGTATACCGATTTTTTATATCTGAATTAACATATTTATGTATAATAATCCTAAATATCTTCAACTTCAATCTAATCTGACTTATCCCACAAAATTTTACAATTTTACTTTTTATTAAATAATGTCATACAACTTATGGTTTAGAGGTCAAATTGTTTATTTAATATTTTTAAATAAATATATATTAATATGTCGCAAAATTTTTTAAGGGGACACCAAATACATTTCACTGTCATATTATGACAGTGAGGCGTATTTGTCGCCTCCTGAAGAATTTTACGAATGTAGAATTCAACATATTAGAACGTGGGTATCTGACATATTTGGAAATATTCTCAAAAGCTTCCTAGAAGCTTCATAAGAAACCTTCTAAGAACATTCCAAAAACGTATTGTTAAAATGTTCTTAGAATGCTTTTTAGGAAGGTTTTAAGAAGCTTCTAAGAATCTAATTGCATCATTAAAAGGGTATCTATTGAATGTTTTAAAAGTCCCTAGGAACATTCTTAGCAATAAGGGAAGGTTCTAAGAATATTCCATTATTCCGGGTCATATCTTCTTAGAAGATTCTTAGAATCAAATTTTGCTATCAGGGGTGTTCAAAAATCATAGATACAATTTACCTGAAAGTACCATTTTATTATGGGATAAGGCACTCCCCCACCTTTACAAGACATTCTAGCTTCCTCTCCAAGTTTAACCTCGAGAAAACCATTCGGGGGAAAAGGTTCCACCGAGGGAGCATCTAAAACATAACAGTTTTAATGAAAAAAAAAATGTTTAATAGTTATTTTATTACGTAGAACTTCGATGGCATGCCTTTGCCTTATGGCACCCCAGGGTTCAGGTCTTTCAATTTCACAGGTGTACTCTCCAGTGTCCATGGGTTTGACAGAAACAATCTGCAAAGAACCATTTTGCCACAACGTATGTCTTTCTGGAGGTACTACGGAATCATTGGCACTATCTGCGAGGAGGTCATGTTCTTTGAACCATTTTATCGAAACTGCATAGGCTTCATCTAAAATAATTATTTTTAATATTTGGTTTAAATATAAGTTTCATGTGCCCTCATTATCCGCAATGGCAGTCATCTCGAACAAACCTTAATCTATTACTTCCTTATTGGGATTATAATGTTGGGTAAACATGAAACCCACATAACCGTATTAAGTATCTTTGGGTCTAATTAGGATTTTAAAAGGTTTTTTAATAAGAGTAAGTGCACTTAAATAATTGTATAAAAATGTAATTTGTAACTGTGTTTTTTACGTTGAATATAAATTACCCTTATTTCCTTTTGTACTTGGTTATTTTTCAGATATGTAATTGTGCTTTGAGAATTGATTTGGAGTTTAAGTGCTTGACAGTTGTCAGATGTAAGAAACTTCTCGCGATAGTCGAGTAAAAAATTGTGTGCGACTATTGGTCAAAAGAGGAATATTCTCTTTCTTTCACTAGTCCCACAATATACTATTGTAGGCACAGAAAATTCGAAATGTACTAAATAACGTTTATCTATTTTGCGTTCATAATGACTTCATTATAACACCGCTTTCGGTGCTGTAATGAGATACTTTATCCCACTCAAAATTTTGATTTTATAGGTTGGCTATACTTAAAACAGCATATATTATAACGGAAAATACTGGAAAAATCATAAAAATATATTTTTATGATTTTTCCAGTACTTACGAGACTTTTCTGGCAATAAATTTTGTTTAGCACCAAAGAAAATCCTTTTTTTCTTCTTTAACAATAAGAGCCGCTTATCGTATATAAGTAAATTAAGGACGGTATGGCGAATCGATTTTGACATTAACTGTCAAACCAATGACTGTGATACCAACTATCTAAAGTAAAAGTACTTAGGTGCTCTTTTTTAATTTATATATTTTCCATTTTAAATATTTATTAAAAAATGTACAGTGGTTTAAAGTAAATTAATTACACCTCTTTATATATAAACTTGCTAAAATAAAATTCACTAAAATAACATTTTAATGACATTTTCATAACTCGCTGATTAAGAGACATGCAGCAATATAGAAGACATATTTTTGTAGGAAATTTTACGCTTTACAAAAATGGTATTTAACGTTTTTTGCAAAACCATCCATTTAAATAATATTGGATGTCAAAGTTTAAAATATATAAAATAATTAAAAATTAAAACAAATAATTTAGAAGATAGGTACCCTAGTAAAAAACATTTAAAAAAGATAATGGCAATAATTTTCATTTCGAATTATTTCAAATTTTGACCGATATTTAAATGGAGGTTTTTACGAAAAAAAAACACAAAAACTCTGGTAAATTGTAACATTTCCTACAAAAATATGGCTTATATTAGACTGGATATCAAAAATAAGGTTTGGGATGACAAAAAAAAACTATTGTGAAAGTTTGAGACTTAAACAAAAATATAACAAATTATAATTATTATAATAAGGTTAATTGATTTTGTCCGATTTTGTCCAATTTTGTCCAAAACAATTGATTATGTCCGGACGGACATAATTGGACAAAATCGTCCAATTATGTCCACTTGGACAAATTCATCCAACCCTGGTTTGAGTCCATAATATTAATATTAAGAGGTCTATCCTCGCAATTTTAAATTTTTTTTCCTCAGCAAGTTTTTGTCTCAGAACTCCCAAACCATTGAGTTTAACAAAATTAATTTAGAAATACTTTTTTAAGAAAATTAAATGCTCTATAGATACGTATATATACAAAAATGAAATTTTCAGACAGATGAACCTTTTCCTTAAAATCATGCATTAAAAATTGGTATAGTCTTACATTTTGATCTTTTAACTTTGGAATTTTGTAATTCATGTAAAAATCAGTACCCAGAAAAAAACTGATGAATATTCTTATGGGAAATCAAATGCTTTACAAAAAAAGCCTCTTAACATTTTTGGCTAAATTCACTCAATCAAAAGTTATTCAAGGTTAAAGTTGAAGTCAAAACAAAATTCTTCTTCTTTCCTCTGTAGATTTATTTTTTTATGGATGATAATTTTTTTTTTTTATTATATAACTAATTAATAATTTTCAATAAAAAACATGATTGTTAATTTAAACGATTAAATAGGTAACAGTGAAAATAATATTTTCTAAAGAAAATAGTGAAAATGATATTTTCTAAAGAAAATAGGAAAACAATTCTGCGTTTTTTTTTTTAATTTTCAGTAATTTTATCAATAACATAAAGATTATCATCGATAAAAGAATTCAACAAGAATTTCGTTTTGACTTCAAATTTAACCTTGAATAACTTTTGATGGAGTGAATTTAGTCAAAAATGTTTTGTAAGGCATTTGATTTCCCATAAGAATATCTATCGGTTTTTTTCCGGGTACTGATTTTTACATGAATTACAAAATTCCAAAGTTAAAAGATCAAATTGTAAAACTATACCAATTTTTAAGGCATGATTGTAAGAAAACGGTTCATCTGACGGGAAATTCCAATAAAACTTTTTTTGTAGAGCATTCAATTTTCTTCAAAAAATTCTTAAGTCAATTTTGTTAAACTCAATGGTTTGGGAGTTCTGAGACAAAACCTCGCTCAGGAAAAACTGGACTCAAACTTTCACCATAATATTTTTTTGTCACACCAAACAATATTTTCGATATACTTTTTCAAAATTGTTTTTACACTAATAATGTTCTAGTATTCTTCATTTTAATTAAAAAGAGTAAACCTTATTAAGAGAAAATGGCAAAGAAAAGTAGGTACTAGTTTACGGTTAGCATTAAGCAAATCTTAAAAAAAAGTGAAAAAATACTTGTTTTAAGGTTAAAACGTGTATCTGACAGATGTCATATATTTTGTTCGTACTTTGTATTTTTTTACTTCCATCACATGAAACAATTTCTGAGATTATATTTTCACACAATTTACAACCCCTATATAAAATACATGCTATATTTCGCAAATTATCCACCTATTCATCCCATCACCTACCGTTTGATAACGTGTTGAGATAACAAGGCAACAACACGGTATTATTTTCCCTCGCCTTAACAGTAGTCGGCGGGCTAATGAAATCATGTCCGTTACAAACACCAACCACAACCACCAATAACAAACAAATTACAAAACAACGACCGCCGGGCATATCGCAAGTTGCGATTCGCAACACAAAACTCTGCTTTACGGCTTTACTGTCGTTACACACTGCTCCGACAATTTTTAACTACCAATAGAGCATTTGAAACGTGTGACTTATGCTTACAAGTAGATGACAATTGCTGGAAGCAGAGCCGGGTCCTCTTTTTCCTGCACCTTATGTTTCCAGAGATGAAAGTAGATATTTTTAACTAAATGACTTTAATCCATAAATCTGGACCTAAAAAAGATATAAAAAAAAAATTCTCAAAAGCGTTTCTGCGATATGTAGTGGAAATTTTTTGGGAGATTTTAAGTGACCCCATCAGAAAAAGTCTAATGGTGTCAGATCTGCGTATATAGGAGGCCATTCTATTGGTCCCCTTCCACTAATCCACTTTTCATCTAAAGCTAGTTAATCATCTTTGATTTTCCATTTCATTTAATATTAGTAGTGGCTGTATTATTTCATCTAACATTTCAAAATAAATTTGGTCAATAAATAATACAATCTAATAACTTTTCATCTAAAGCTAGTTAATCATCTTTGATTTTCCAGTTCATTTATTATTATTAGTGGCTGTATTATTTCATCTAACATTTCAAAATAAATTTCGTCAATAAATAATACAATCTAATAACTTTTCATCTAAAGCTAGTTAATCATCTTTGATTTTCCAGTTCATTTATTATTATAAGTGGCTGTATTATTTCATCTAACATTTCAAAATAAATTTGGTCAATAAATAATACAATCCAATAACTTTTCATCTAAAGCTAGTTACTCATCTTTGATTTTCCAGTATATTTATTATTATTAGTGGCTGTATTATTTCATCTAAAATTTCAAAATAAATTTGGTCAATAAATAATACAATCTAATAACTTTTCATCTAAAGCTAGTTAATCATCTTTGATTTTCCAGTTCATTTATTATTATTAGTGGCTGTATTATTTCATCAAACTTTTCAAAATAAATTTGGTCAATAAATAATACAATCTCCCAAAATTCCTCCAGGTATGATTTTTTCTGATTAGATGAAGAGTTTGATTGGTCCAATAAATAATAATAATAATTTATTTATTGCCCAACAGTTTTCACAATAAGGGACATTCAAATAACAATATTATAGTAGATACAAACACAATTAATAATGCACATAAAATAAATAATATAACTTAATATACCTTAATATATAAGGGTGAATCTCGCGAAATGATGGTGTTACCCCGTGATATTTAATACCTACACTTTTATTGTGTTTTGATCTTTCATAATTAAGTAGATATTACAGCTCAGGTTCCAGATTTTTAAACGCAATTAATTATTTTTTTTAAATATTTTAAAAGTCTAAAACCTATCCTCCGGGACTGTTACTCTTTCTAGGTTAACCTATATGTTTTCAAATATCTGAGGTAGTAAAAGCATACTAAAAATATCAGTTCACCAAGTAAATTAAACACATCCAAAGCAATCGAATCAAATATAAAATATTATTAAAAATTAAAAGAAATAATTTTTATAACCATTTATGTAGGTGTTACAAAAATTGATTCTATCCTCCGCGAATCTGATTTTGCTTTAAATTTTATGCAACGAATGGCGCTTTAATCATTTTAAATAAGCAAAAACCTCTGTTTACGACATTATAGATGCATGCGATTCCTGAAGGTCAGTTAGAATTTATATGCAGATGAGAGTGTTGCTGTTTTATAATTCAAAAGTTTAAGTTCATTAATTTGCTATTTAAAAACCTATCCACCGTGAAGTGTAGTATCTCAGTAAGTAGATTTTTTTATAAATATTTTATGTATGTACAATTGTATTTTTAAAAAAATATTAAGGTGTCAAAAGATACAATAACTTATTTCAAATATATAAAGGGATACGAAATCCTAACCTCCGTGAAGCTATCTTCCGTGAAGCTCTAATATTCAAAATGTTTGATTTCCTAAAATTCTTGCATTAGTGCAGAACCACTTATGTTATGTTATTACTAGACCTGGTGGCTTCCCAAAAACCCAATTCTAGACTAACAAAAATAAAAAATAATTATTTTCACTTGGGGGACATCTCAATATATTCACCCATAAAGTTGTGTTTAAAAATTAGAGAACAGATAGAAAAAAAGAACGCAAAAATATAATAAAAAAAAATGTTAATTAATATAATAATAGTATAGAGGCCCTAAGCGGCAGACCTTCTTCCCAAACCCGGCCCTGCATTATACTCACAAGTACCTAACAATTACTAAGGACGAGGGTCCAACACACTCAATTACTGTCCGTCGTTTATTCGATTATACATTGTTTCGTAGATGGATGAATCTTTTATGATCTACTTAAGTGGGGCTTTGATTTTTTTCGGTTTATTTTCGTACGTATGCTCTTAAAAAATTTATTGTTAATTAAAAGAATGCGGCTATTTATGGAAACATGTGCGATATGAGGTTTTATGAGCACTCTTTTAATTAGTCACTTAAGATGTCATATATTACGTGAAATATGAAATAATTAAGAAAACCTGTTTTTAGATATTCTCAGAAATAAAAACGAAATATTAAATTATAATATCATACATTAAAAAGAAATTGCAATTGCAAATTTTACTTTTTAAATGATCCCACATAAAAAGTCTAGGGGAGTCAAATCTGGAGATATTGCCGGCCAATTCAAAGCCCCTTACTTCCCATTCATTAATTCAAAACTAAACAAAACAAAACATTTTAATTCATATAAATAAAAATAATAGTTATTTGTGTCATTAGGTTAAGAAGTAAGGCTTTTTGTGCTAAGCTCAAGGTTTGAAGGCCGACGCGTAGCGGAGGCCTACAATTGAGCGAAGCACAAAAAGGCACTTCTTGGCCGAATGGCATACAACATTTTATCTTCAAAGCACCTTATATAGGTCAATTTAATTCAACATCAAAGCGGCCTAACCTCAATTTTTTAGAATCTCATTTATTTATTAGCTAAAGATTACATTAAATGTACAATAATTATTGCTTTTAGAAGCAGTAATAGTTTGACAATACCTAGCAACATGATTTAAGTAGAAATGGATTTTTGCTATTACATTAAATTTAATTAATTGTTTAATAAATAGGTAGGTATCTAATTACAATTCGTTTGGATTTTTATTAAAAAAATAGGTAGTTTGGAATGTTTAAGCTTTAATTTCACTGAAAACTTAAAGCAAATTGAAACTTAAAGATAATTTAAATCGTAGAAAAAGAATCGTGCGTTTTCTGGGTTGCCTAACCTCACTTTTTGTTTTATTATTCATATTTAATTTTACAATAATTTAATGAAAAACAAACAAATTAGTGCTTATTATAAATAAATTAAACCAGTTTAGTACGTTAATTTCTAAGAAAGGATTAATTTGTCAAAACAATACCCCTAGCGAGAAAAAATCGAACTAATTTCTTGCCTCATAAAAATTTTTATTGGCCTAGGCCATAACAAGTTATTTCTTTATCGAATGTTGACAACAATAAAGTTTAAATTATAGACCGCGTGGTACGAAGGCGTAGAAGGGACAATTACACTAAATTCATTTTTATTATTTAATTCTGCGTTAGCTAACACAGAATTAAATGCAATTAATTCCGTGTTAGCTAACCCAGAATTAAATATGGGGGATTTAATTCTGTGTTAGCTAACGCAGAATTAAATATGGCGGATTTAATTCTGTGTTAGCTAACGCAGAATTAAATATGGCGGATTTAATTCTGTGTTAGCTAACGCAGAATTAAATAATAAAAATAAATTTAGTGTAATTGCCCCTTCTACGCCTTCGTAGCGTGGAGATAAAATTTTTTTTGTGTAGGACCTTTTAACACATTAATGTTGGTTAAATATTTTGAAATTTTAAGATTTTAATTATTATAAGTTTTGTATCAAGTACATATATCATTTATATTATAAACACTAGGAAGTTTATGTAAATTTTGAAATTTTTTATTTAACACGCATTATTTTTAACACAAATTTTTAACTGTGTAATAATTTACTGTAATAGTGTTTGGGTTACATTTTAAAAAGGTGAATTAACTCAATATCGATTTTTAAAAATGCTCAGCGAACTTCGGCTCTACCTAACGGTTCAACATTAACATTAGTAGTGAATTGGTTTATTGTATTGATTTCAAATAAATTTAAGCTATAAACCAAATTTATGGTAAAATATTCTAACTATTAAGTATTCCAAAGTTTTAAAAATCCTAACCCTAAAAATAAAAAACACCTTGTTGTTTATTTCTATTTATTTTTGTCAAGCTCAGTCATTGTCCAATTTAAATTCAGTTTACATGTCTATAATACCTAGTACAAAGGCCTTAAATTCCTGCCTGCTTCTCCATAAATCAAAATCATTTTAATTTTTTTTTCCACTGTTAAAAAATCCCTTATGAATAACTGCTTAACGAAAGGAGGTCTTTTTGTTTGCAAATTAATCTTTGAACTAAATTGATTAAATAATGCTAAACTACAAATAGTTTCTTTATACCTCAATAATAATTATTATTTATAACTAAGAACCATTTTTTATACCTCAATTAGGATTAAATTAATTAATTCTAAAATATTTAAATTTTTACAATAAATGTCAAAAATAACAAATATATTTTGAGGCCTTGTTACCAGACTTTATTTATTTCTCATATTTGAACTTTTGGTAACCTTTTAAAGTAATTAAAAAGTGCACATGCTACTTCCTAATTAAATAACCTCACTTTTAGGCATCTTGTACTTAAAGTAATTTAAAATAAAAAACAATTAAATAGACGTAGGCGCTGCAAGATGACTAATCGAAATGGATGTTCGATTTTTTTTTGGTCGTCTTGTTCCGAACCTTAATTAGTTGAGTTGATTTTATGTGGCCATAATTAATGACAGTTTTTAATTGTCCGTATTAAGTAAATTAAGTAATTGGTCTACGTTCTTAAGCGATAGCTTCCAATAAGACTGCTGACTGAAAACATTTCTAATTAACGAATTTAAAGACAAAGTCTGTTTTCACTTTTATTAAGTTTCAAAACTAAAGGTTAACTGTTTGGCAACCATGTGGTGATAACTAGAAAAGTATGACAGACAAAAGTTGCACCTCGAGTCGCCAGACGAGAGACTCAAATCATACGAGTAA